GCATTATAATGTGATGGTCAATCGCACTATTCATTGGTAAAAGAGTAGCCCAAGAGTTGGTGGTGGGTGGCGATGACTAGCTGCCTTCCCTCCAGTCTTTCACTGCTAAATTAGGGACGGCTAGCACAGATAGCTCTCGTGTAGTTTTTACTCTAAAGTAAAATACCCTTAACTCTTCTATACTTAAATATGTATAGTTACTTTTCATATTTCTCCCTCTTCATAGTGTGAAGGAAAGCCTTACAATGAGAAGTCTGATATCTGGGCTTTAGGCTGCATCCTTTATGAAATGGCTTGTCTCCAGAAAACATTTGAAGGTTCCAACTTACCGGCTTTAGTGAATAAAATAGTGAAGGTGGGTTGTCATATTTACAGTGTTTTGAAAGATAAAGCTCCACCATTTTAAGAGGTTTTATTGTCTGTGTCAAATATATTTAATCTTTAAAACAGTTTGGTTTTAGTTATTTAAGTTTTTTTTTAAAATTTGGCAGTGGGACTTAGTAATTGAATATTATTTTTAAAATGCATTACTGTGTCTCAGAGGCTATGTGACTTTGGTTTTTGTTTCAATCTGTCATATTAGAAGTACCAAACTTCTTAGTTTTGAACATTATATGCTTATTATACAACATTAAAGAATTTCTGAAACAAATGGAAGAGGAGAGGGTACAGGAACCTAGATTCCCTAGATCCCCACTTCCACCCAGATCTGTACCTGCTTATAAAACATTAAAGAATACAATTAATCAGTTACAAATTAGAAAACACACTATAAAACAACAGTAAATTTAAACTTTACTTAACACTTAAATAGCCAAAGAATTGGCAATGGGTGATACCAGTTAGTTTTCTTCCCGTTAGTCAGCAATTTAAAATTAGTGACAGTGACAGATAGCTTCAGTAGATTTGTCATAACAAAGACAGGGCAAGCAAGCTTGGAGGCCTGGCATGGCCAGGTGGTTAGGGCACTCAACTCACAATCTGTGGGTCGTAGGTTTGAGTCCCCGTCACACCAAACATGCTCACCCTTTCAGCCATGGGGGTGTTATAATGTGACAGTCAATCCTATTATTCGTTGGTAAAAGAGTAGCCCAAGAGTTGACGGTGGGTGGTGATGATTAGCTGCCTTCCCTCTAATCTTACACTACTAAATTGGGGACAGCTAGCGCAGATAGCCCTCGTGTAGCTTTGTGTGAAATTCAAACAAACAAACAAGCAAGAAAGTTTGGTGGCAATGGTAAGCAAATTCAAGACCCTTCAGGCCATACTGGCTCAAACTTGAAGTAAAAAGACATCAACTTATAATACTATAATTTTGTTCTCATACCCCCAATGGGCAGAGCACAGATAGCTCATTATGTAGCTTTGCACTTAGCAACAAAAAGACATAATGACAATTTTTTGATTCTAATTTAATTGTAATTTTCTTCCTGTATGGTACTTCCCTCCTCTCACAAGATCAGCTATTCTTGTTTATTGCTGCCCTCTATATGTAAACTTTTTTTATTACACATGCCACAAGCCTTCCACATACCCCTATTGGAATCAAATGATTGCATCGTGTTTCTCGTGCAAATCATCATACGTCACTTCTCCACCAATAGGAAAATAGTACACTCACATGACTCCCTCTATGCGCCTCTACCACATTATCACTTCTCATTTGGCAGTGCTAGTACTTGGACATCTTTCTTTTTTTCATCTTGATTAGAGTTTGTGATTTAATTCTCAAAGTGGTTTAATTTCACATACTTTTTTTTAAAGCATTCAGGTTCAATTACCCTTGTTCTAGTTGTGTTTATTTCTTACTTCAAATGCTTTTGTGACTGATACAACATGAATTCCGAAATTAATGTCACCATTCAGGTGTCTCACAATCAACAGGTGCTTTACCAAAGGCTTCAGAGGCCAGTGACCCATCGGAAGATTTGTCTACGTTTATTCACAGAGAGATTGAACATTATATGGGTCAACCTTTATCTCCAAACATTGCCACACTTCCTCCAGAACCTGTGGAACCTGGATAGGCTGACGAGGACTTTGATTGCCTTTTTCCACCTCCTGAATTTTCTGTGCCTTCCCATACCCTTCCTCAGGATTCTGTTTGGCCTTACATGATTTTTTTTACATTATTTCTCAGGTATGTGATGTTTTATCTCTTGCTTCCATATCTTATGACCTGCATCCTTCATTACTTCATGAGTATACTTCCCAACCCTATTTGATTTCTTCCCCCATCCCCCGACATTCGGGTTCATGCTAAACAATTTGCCTCACAGTTGGGCGATGGTGTTAGTATGCCTCATCTCCATGGGCTTCGGATCAGTCTGATCTTGCATATCATAGGGTTGACTGTCCATATCTCGACCAACAACTGTTGGGTTCAGTTTTACCCATTTTGAGGCTCTTCACAGAAATCCTGAGGGATTTTCTGGCGACATCCTCTCCCTCCTTACCTCCATGTTCCATCTTCAGCCTGAGAACCCGTTTACCTGCTCCTTATCTCTGGGATTTGTGTATGACTCCATTTTTATGATGTTTCGTCTTTGACAAGGTTCCATAGTCCTTGGAGTCTTGGGTGGCATTTGTCCAGCAACAATCTACCTTTACCCATCTGGTAGCCTGTTTATCTCAGTCGGAGCTGAATGTGGTGCCAATTCCGGTTTTCCATCCTTCCACTTCCTTGCCCTTACTTGTCCCTCCTTTTTGTGGTGCCCCAACTTGTTGTTTTTCTAAATGACGTACGATACGCTGCCACCAGTTTCAGTGACTACCTGGTGAGTTCGGGCCTAGTGGGAGCTTGACTTGTAGCCTTCGTTCATTGGTGGCATCCTTTCATCACTGATGTTTGGGTTCTTCAGGTTTTGTCAGAGGGCCTCGAAATTCCATTTCTTGCCCCACCTCCCTTGTCCCAGGTACCTGTTTCCTTCCCTTCTCCTTGGGATCCCATAACTTGTTAGTGTCTATCAGAGGCATTACAGGAGCTCCTCACCCATCAGGCTATCGAATCTGTTCCACATCATTCACCGGGGTTTTACTCCCATCTGTTTGTTGTTCCCAAAAATACCGAGGACTGGAGGCCTGTCTCACCCCAATTGATTTTTTTCACCATGGAGTCCTGCCTCACTCTTTAGTGGGCATTTTCTCCAGGTCTCTGGATGACCAAGATGGATGTCTCCAATGCTTATCTGCATATTCCCATCTCGGAATGATCTTGTCCTTATCTTTGGCCTGTTCAGAATGGGCCAGAAGTAGACAGTCATCCATGTAAAAATGGAAATGCAACCCCATGGCATGAAGATGAAGAGCAAGAGCTCTCACTACCCAACAGAAAACATAAGGAGCAGAAGCCAGCCCAAATAGTAGGATGCAAAATTGGTACACCACCCCTCGATGGACGAAAGTTGGCCAGTCATACTCGTTAACTCCTTCTCGAAGCTGCTTGGGTAGGCTGGTTGATCAAATGGGAGAAGTCTTTCCTTGCATCCTACTCAATATCTTGTATAGAATTGTCATTTTGTCGCACCCTATCAGCTCCCTCACTTTCTGCATGCAAGGTTCTGTCACTCTGGATGTGGTCTACCATGACACTGCTAATCCCTCTCGACTGTGCACACATGTGCTCTCTTCAGTGGGCTCTGCATGATCAATGGAACCTTGCTCAGGATCCCTTGGATGCTCCCATAACACTTACTCCTTCCCTTGTAGACAATCTCCTTTGATGGTTGGACAAGACTCACACTTTGGCGGGTGTCGTGCTTCTTCCTCCTCGTCCAGATTTACATCTATTTATGGACAAATCCTTTCAGGGCTTGGGTGTGTGGGTCGATCACCAGGAGGCTTCGATCATTGGTCTGTCGAAAAATAGTCTTTAAATATCATAATCCTAGCCATTCGTTGGCCTATGGATCACTTCCTTCCCATTGCCAGACATTGTCTGGTAATGATCCATTCTGACAATTCAACAGTGTTGGCTTATATCAATCACCAAGGCAGCACCTGGTCGAGTTCCCTCTGTTTTCATACATTGGATCTCCTATATTGGGCCCTCGCACAACACATTCATTTAATTGCATGTCATGTCTCAGGTGCTTTCCTACTCTGACAAGATTTACTTGATGGAGTGGTCCCTTCATCCTCTCATTTTACTAGTGGTTTTATGCAATCTGTGGGGTTTTCCTCACATCGATGCATTTGCCACTAAATAACCAGTTACCCCTATTTTGGTCCCTGGTACCTCATCCTCAGGCTTTGGCAATAAATGCCTTCAGCCAGGATTGGTCACACAAATTCCTATATGTTTATCCTCCTATCTGATTGCTTCATTGGGTAGTTTTCCTTATTCATGCCACTCTGTGCTGGGTCCTTCCGATCGCTCCCTACTGGCCGGCTCAACCATGGTTTCCTCGTTTACTCCAACTCAATTACTCCTTCCTGTACTACTTCCATTATTACCCAACCTCCTTAGTCAACCCCAATCATCGATTCTGCATTCCACATTTCACATCCTCCATCTTCATGCCTGGCTTTTGTCTGGTCCTTGGTGAGGAGATCTGGTTTCTCCCTCTGTGTATTTGGCTCACTCTATCCATCCTTCTTTCATGGATGTGTATCAGCGAAAGTGGAAGGTCTTTCATACATGGATCCAGGCTTGAGGATTTCCTGCTGCTCGTCCTACTGCTGCTGGTGTCTCCGAGTGTCTCATGTGGCTTTTCAACTGGGGGTCTTCAGTCTCCTTGATTTCAGGTTATCGGCAGATTTATCCCATACCTTTTGTATTTCCCATTACTGCAGAGTTTTTCTCTCACCTGTTCATATCATGTTAATCTGTTAATTCCAGATTCATCGATCTCCTTGGCCACCTGCTCTTCCGGACTGGGACGTTAACATGGTTATCCATTCCCTTACTTTACCTCTGTTTGAACCTATTTTATCATTTTCTTTCTTTCACCTGTCCCTTAAGGCGGTATGAAGATTATAAAATTTCCTCCAAAGGCTGATGAAGACGAGAAGCAAGGGAAAAGGTGAGGTGTCAGATTTGATGAGAGGTAACATAGAACAGAGTATGGTGGGAAGAATAAACCAACTGGATCAAATGACGAACCCAACTGGGGAGGGTAAAAGGGGAGAGATCTCTGGAGAAAGATGGTTGCCATAGGATAAAGAGACAGGAACAGGAACCACAGAAGGAAGCCATGCAAGCAATATAACAATGAAGGGCATGCACAGAACATAGAAGTCTATCTGGATCAGTATGTGGGTAGAGATGAGAAATAGTCAAAAAGAAGGAGTTACCCTCATGAGCCAGAAAAAGGAGAAGATAGGTATGGTGGTAAAGCATGTGTGTAACATCAACAGTGAACAAGACAGACCGTCAATGCCCATAGGCCAAAAGGAGAAGGAAATACTTCATTACATGGATCCCACTCTGTGGCGAGTGGTTTCTCACCAGGTATTCTTTAATCTTTAAATCCGAACTGTATACCATGTTGACTAGTGCTTTCTTTTCCATGGCTTTGCATGTTCACCTTTTAGATGGGGTGTTTCACTAGGTTGTTTTTAGGTGAATAACCTCATGATATTTGCTTCATAAGTTGGCCCATCCTGAACCGTACCACCCATGAAATTCGTGGGTAAAGCAAAGGGGATAGTTGTTCATCCCTGCCATGCCTCAATTGAATAAATTGGTATGGTTTGCTTTTCAAAATAGGGTTTCGTGATCACCCATTGCACTGTCTTGGGGGTTTACATTCCTCCAGGCTCTCTAATGAATTCTCATCACCACTTTTCTTCTAGTGGAGTATGGGAGTCCTTATCACTTCCCACTTCCAAGCTGCTGGGGTGGTTTCCTTGGCTTTCCCTCCCTCTCTCTTATTACAAGAGTGTTATTGCCCTTTGGATTTCCCCGACATGTTTTGTGGTTGTGGGAGTTGATTGCATGCGATACACTTCCTTTTGATATTGGATGTCATATTCCCAGATCTGTAGCTCAGAGCTAATCCCATTTAATACCCAGGAATCAGAGTGATTCTCAATTCCCCCAGTTCTTGGGTTGGAAGTGAAGATGGTATGATCCTCATCCTACCCTCGCATGGATGTTGATACCTGCAAAGAGGTTTTGGATGTAGTTGACTTACCGAGTATGTTGCCCTAGTCACTCTACACCATGGGTCTCATCCTCGTTTACCTACTTTTCTCATTGTGGGATTCAGTTACTATATTTTTCTTCAGTTAGGATCACTTTCCTATCACATTCTCTTCCACTTGGATGTGTTTCTCTCATTTTCTGCCATGATTTCTTACACATTCCACATATGGGCGAAGAGTATACCTGGATCAGAAGTGGTGCAGTTACCCTCTTTGTATCTGACTCTCTCATCTACAGAGGTATCCTTCGAATGCTTTTGGGGGGTACGTCTGTTCTTCCCTCGCACCGGTCCCTTCTCCTAGTTAATGTGGCATTCTAGCTAATCTTGTGAGAGGGAGGAAGTACAGTATCGGAAATTATAATTTTCCTATACTGAAAATTTATTTCAGATACGTACTTCCCTCTTCTCACACTTCCCACCCTTCCTCCTCACTCACTTCTGGTACTTCCATCATCTGCCAAACTTTGAAGTGATAGTTCAGTAGAGGCACATTAAGGGAGTCACATGCATCATGTGAGTTTACTATTCTTCTATTGGTGGAGAAGTGATGCATGATGATTTGCATAAGAGATACATTAGAATCACTTGATTCCAATAGGGGGGTGCGGAAGGCTTATGGCAAGCATAATAAAAACGTTCGCATATAGAGGGCAGCAATGAACGAGAATAGCTAATCTTGTTTAAAGAGGAAAGTACCTATCAAAAATACATTTTCAGTATAGAAAATTATAACTTTCATCGATTGTTGGAATAATCAGAAACAATAATGATTGGATACACTATTTTGTATTAGTTGTTTTTGTGACATAGTCAGTATACTTGATAGTCATAGATAATCAACTGTATAGCCCAGTTCTTATAACAATGTATTTTATTTTATTAATATTAAATATTGATAGAATAATTTACCCATTATGTAATTTTTTTTGGATAGTTTCCTCTATATGAAATAACCATGGATAGAAAAACTTGATCAAAGTATTATAAGCTATAGATTCAACAACTTTGTCATTGACTGTGAAAAAGTTATCTAAGAAAAAAGAAGTCAGCCTTCAGTTTTTTTCTGCAGGGTCAATTTGCTCCTATTCGTGGGCACTATTCATATGACTTCAAACAGCTTGTTCGAGATTTGCTTCAGAAACATCCAGAATATCGACCTACTGCTAGAGAAGTATTATACGACAGGTTACCTGAGGTAAGAAAACATTACATTCTAGAGATGCTGCTTTGTATTTAACACCAAGCTCTTTTGTCATTAGTTTGCTTGTAGGCACAGGCTCTTTTTTTCTAGTTTTTAATATGTAAGTCCAAGCTCTTTTACTCTTATTTGCAATGTAGATTAAACTTATTCAATAAGACTTAAGCTCTCAACTCTTATGCCAAGGGTTATTGTATAAATTTTAATTCTATTCTCAGGGGTTAAAATATAATTCCTAGATTTTTACTTACTTTTGTCAAACTTAACATGTAGGTTTTAATTCCTTTGTAATGCTTAGCATGTAGCTTTTCAAGGATTTAGCCTGTGCATACTTTTCAAGATTCAGCAGAAAAGTTAAGCTCGCTAATTACAGAAGTTCTTGTATCTTGGGTTTGGATATATGTTTCCTAACAAGTTGTGGCAGTTAAGTCAGAAATAAAGAAATAAGACAGATTTACACAAAGAATAAATCGTTTAATGGTTCACAGTTAACAATACAAG